TTTACTGAATGAAAGATCGGTAATAACGACACCATGTATACACACTAAAAAGTACTTTTTGCGTTCGTAGGAACCAGGATGAAAGTATGTACATTTTATGGACCTCCGCTTCCCATACTATTTCAATATTCTTGCCTTTCTCCCCCACTTCTATTACCCTTCACGTTTTACATTTATATATAAATAATAGAACGCTAGGAAATCATTTGGCCCGAATCGCCTGACGATACCTAAAGGTTGAAACCAAGGAAGAGTGATTGGTAGTTCCTCTGCATGTAATATTTTTTCTTTTTTATATACATGTTTTGAGCACTTTTAATACAACTGTTTTCTGGTCACCATTTACATTATTCGGACTATTATCCTCATCTTTGTCGCCATATTTATTACAACGTTTCGGTCGTTGTACGCTCCGGCCTTCTTCAGGTGGTTGGAATTTATGTAATAAATATGACGACAAAGATGAGGACAATAGTCCGAATAATGTAAATAGTGTACATAATACCACTTCTCAGAAATATAGACAGATATTTTTCTGGTCTAATTCAACTTTAACTAATAACGGTATATATATATATATATATATATATATATATATATATATATATATATATATTTATATTATTTCATTACGAAGTTACAAAGAGGAACGATCGATTTTCTTATCTTCATACCCTGTCTGGTGGCACCAGGGGTGGCGGTCCTGCCATAGCCACCGAATATCACCCCTGGTCGGCGTCTGATGAAGACAGGGTATCGCATGTGCTAACACGCCTTCTATGTTGAAAAAATATATAATCATCCAGAGACAGTTTGTTTCGCTGTATCACAGCTCCTCAGTGTGGCTAGACGTCGGATTGCTTCAATCCAAGATCGAAACCCAACTGATTTGACATCAGTTAGATATCTTACTCCTAGGCCAAGTCTCACAGCAGAGAGAAAGGAAGGAAATTTTAACGTTTTTCTTTATACGAAACACGCCAACGGCTCGGAGAACTTGAAGAGTAATGCTTAATATAGTCATCCACAGACAGACTGTTTCGCTGTATCACAGCTCATCAGTGGGGCTAGACATACGGCTGATTCAAGCCGGGATCGAAAGACGGTTAATTTGACATCAGTCGGAGAATCCATCCCTAAGCTATTGACGCCCGTTAGAGAGGAAAGTGAATTTTAGTGTATTTATTTTTAAATAAACACGCCAGTGACCGAGAGAACTCAATTCATCATATATATATATATATATATATATATATATATATATATATATATATATAGGGTGCGATCTTGTAAATATATTACCAAGATTACACAAAGTTATCTTGAAATACTAAATTTTAAATTTATTTAATTAAATCGTCTTTTGCTTCAAGCACGGCTTTCAGACACCTTTGGAATCTCCTGCAACTCTTCTGTACGGTCATCTTGTTTAAGTTGGTGAATGCTGCCAATTCACAAACATACACACGCACACGGAAATATATGAATTGCGTCAGATATTTGAGAACACATATTTAGCCGCCCATCTGAACAACTTTAGCTTAAAGTCTTGCCACTTTGTAAATGGACAAGTTTTTTAATTAAAGTTTTGGTTAAACAGTGCAGCCAGTTCAAATATTTTTTCTCTGTCGTAAAGATCGTAGAAACGTTTCAGTAATGTTACAAAAATAATGTTACAAAAATAATGTTACAAAAATCCTAAAATTACGGACACCATTTTCCTAATATTTTAATATTACTGAATACTTGAAAGTTGTATAGAAAAGGCGCTCACGTTATTTTCTTCAATTACGTCTTACTGATAAGGTCCCCGTAGAACAATATTGGATCTGTCATCCCGTCAGCACCTTAAATAAACAGTTTTTTTCGCGTTAAAAATGCATTTCTGCGGCATATTAAGCTTAAAATAAATATTTGTTCCAAATCAGATTAATTGTACATTAATCAGCTAATATTCCTCATATAAAGTTTCAGAAAGTGGATATTATTTTTTGAACATTTTTAATAAAGAGAATTACATTGCGATAAACGAGGGCTAAAATAATGGCGTTAAATCAATTTGTTCAGCAAAATCTCCTTCCAATAAATTTAGATTAGTTTTGAAATACAGCAAAGTATTTTGCTTAATGGAAATATTAAATTTAATCTATTAGCTTGAAATTAAAATAAACGCTTCAAGAAAGATTTTTCATTTATCAAAATTCATTTTAAACATTAAGTATCGCGAATTTGTGAAGATACTATATATATATATATATATATATATATGCATGTTTCATATATATATATATATATGTGCATGTTTCATATATATATATATATATATATATATATATATATATATATATGCATGTTTCAAAGTAAGTAATAACGATAGTGAACACACAGGCTAAAATTACATACACATTTATTACAAAAACCAAATGCACATTAATTACAAACAAGACGAATCTTCACTAAGACATATTGTAAAGAAATACACTCCCCCAATTGACCCGAATAAAAAAATCAAATTAATTATCTATTATAAAAAATTTAAGACAGCTAACCTTATCCTCAAAAATAACAACACACCAACTAAGTCAAAATTACAAAAAACGAACATTATCTATGAGTTCAAATGCCCCTTTAAGGAACTGTGTTCCTGATCAAACCGGACTCATAAATAATTACATCGGCTACACAACCACATGCTTATCCAGCCGTCTTATGTTACACCTATCTGATCACAGCTCCATTAGAACCCATTTAAACACACACACACATTTACCCGACTCCATTAGGAACATACTAGTAGAAAACACAAATATATTAACTGCATCCACCTGAAAAAAAAAGATTAAAAATAATGGAAGCTTTAATAATAAAAAAGAAAAAAAAACAACTCTTAACAATATTAACTACGAACAAGGCCACAATGTGCTAACCGTATTCGGAAGTTAAAAACATCCCTACTACACACTAAGACATACACATAACGCACACACCCAATTAAGCTGAAAAATCGAATCATCCTTAATAATGGCTAAAGGTATAGTCGAAAGCGCTCGGAAATATAAAACGTTTGGACAGTTTTTACACACCCTTTGTCCAGAAAAGAAAGCTCTTGTCAGAACATAAGAAAAATTAAATAAAAAGCTTAACCGTAGTACCTTGTCTGTCGTTTTTAATGAAACATGCATAAATGAAAGATTGCTGCCTAAATATACAATATATATATATATATATATATATATATATATATATATATATATATATATATATATATATATATATCAGGTATCTTCATAAATTCACGATACCTAAGGTTTAAAATGAATTTTTATAAATGAAAAATCTTTTTGAAGCATGGCCTGAGAATTGCGTCTAGCATGAAACAGCCTGTCGCCTCTGAGTGCTGACTTCAATATTCACTTTTATATTTAAACACGCTCTATCTCTGATATTCAGCCCGTTATCCCATAAATATAGCACACCTTAAGAGTATATTTCTTCACATATATATATATATATATATATATATATATATATATATATACGGTGTGCGATGGATAAATTGTCTAAATTAGGCATAAATGAAAATAGAACAATGGCATCTCGTCTTAACAGATATATTTACGAACATTGCACAAACATGTCTTGAAATACTAAAGAGTAAATTTATTCAATAAAATTGCCGTTGGTTTCACCCACGCCCACCAGATAACTTCGGAATGTCCTGCAACTCTCCTTGTTTAAGTTGGTAAATGCTGTCATATTCTTTGCCTTCAGTTCATCTTTGGTGTTACAAGGACTTTTGTTGGTCTCCCGCTCAACTGCACCCCATAAATAATAATCAATGGGGTTGCAGTCTAGGAAGTTACGTGACCAGATGTAAGTGGTGATGTGTTCGCAGAAAATGTCTGACAGCCATGACTCGGTTCTCCTGCTTGTGTGACTGTTATAGTGGAACACACCTATTCTATAATTAATAGACTCTCCCACTTATAATAAGTAGGATGAGTAATAGTAACGGCCAGTCGCTGAGTCGCTCAGGGGTTTGGTCAGTCAGTCGATGCCGGACGACCGTTAGTCGGATACTAAAGTATCAGCCACCACAACTAGATTTCTCTGCGTCATTACCTATTATATCAAGCTCCTAACGTTTTGTACGTCGAACCTATTTTAGGACCGACTTAGTACAAATACAAGCCTCCACTGGTGCTGAGTTATGTTGCCTGACATAGGGATCTTCCAGCAGTCACCCTTCCGGCCCAGGACATCCTTAAGGCATTTGACGTAGGCCTTAGTGTCGAGTCTGGGACCCGTACTAACAAATTCTGGAGTTATTTTCTTATCAGAACAATCAGAGTGAGTTTTCTGAGCTGCCGTACCTTCGCAATCACCATTAGACTCATCCAACTCTTTCCGAGCTCTATGCACTGTCCTCAGATTGGCATCCAAATACTGAAATGTTCGTATTGGAGCTTCACAGACGGTGACCAACAGATCCTACTATACCATGCAGTCGACAAAATCAAAATCAAACAACGCGCATGCGCGAAATTAAAATTATAAAATGGCGACAATTTACCCATCTCACCTGTATATATATATATATATATATATATATATATATATATATATATAGAATTAATTATTTTATTGTTTAAACGTTATTTTAAGTGGACATCCGTATTTGAGTAGAAGCTGTGTTTTTATTTAATAAACACTAATTTAATTATTTCCATCTACCGGGCAGCAAGGCCTCTGATCAGGAGGTTTTGAGGAGCGTGGAACCACCTCATAATTGCTGGTGTTCCCAGCAACACCCGGACCCGAGGTGGTAGCACCTGTTAGGGTCCCAGCTATGGGTAAATAGTTAACCACGAAACTAGGGTAAAAATGGGTTTTCATACCAGGAATACTTTGTAAAAAAAAAAAAAAAAAAAAACTATTACCAGCAATACATTTTTGAAAAAAAAAATCACCAGCAATACATTTTTGAATGAAAAAATTATTACCACAAATAGATTTCTGACAAAACAAAATATTACCAGTAATAAAACTTTTTTCGGCATTAAATAACCCATTGAGGTTGATATGCCGTAAAACAAAATAAACCAAATCAATCTAAAGCAAAGAATACATATTCTATTCATACGAATCTATCCTAAAAATGTTGTCGTCATTAAATAACCCATTGAGGTTGATATGCCGTAAAACAAAATAAACCAAATCAATCTAAAGCAAAGAATACATATTCTATTCATACGAATCTATCCTAAAAATGTTGTCGGCATTAAATAACCCATTGAGGTTGATATGCCATAAAACAAAATAAACCAAACCAATCTAAACCAAAGAATACATATTCTATTCATACAAATCTATCCGCAAAAATGTTGTCGGCATTAAATAACCCATTGAGGTTAATATGCCGTAAAACAAAACAAACCAAATCAATCTAAAGCAAAGAATACATATTCTATTCATACGAATCTATCCTAAAAATGTTGTCGTCATTAAATAACCCATTGAGGTTGATATGCCATAAAACAAAATAAACCAAACCAATCTAAAACAAAGAATACATGTTCTATTCATACGAATTTATCCTAAAAATGTTGTCGGCATTAAATAACACATTGCGGTTGATATGCCGTATAACACAACAAACCAAACCATCTACCGGCCCGAATATTTGAGAAATCTTATTAGAAAATTATGCGTCTTCCGGTAGGATTCGGACCTGCATTCCCCGACAGGAAACTGTCGTCAGATCTGAGGTGCTTTAACCGCTCGGACACAAAGAACTTACTGGCCAAATCGAGCCCAAATATTGCTTTTGAACAATGACTTTTTCCAGTTCTCGAAATAGACTTCTCCAGCGATGAAAGTACGTGGGGCGCTTGTAAATACCCTTGTCCTATTCAATACAATTTGCACCAATTTACCGAATATCTACAACAGTTAGTGTTTTCGAAAAGTGGCCAGTGTGGAAAAGACGGTTCGATTTAAACCACACAGATCTTAGAATAAATAAATTCATAAAATAAAATAAAAAAAGAAATATAATTTGCAAAAAGATCTCCCGGATAATGGCAGACAGCAACAAAAGTTCGGTCGTAATGACAGCTTAGAAGAGAAAGGTAACTCTTCTTGCCGATGAAATGAAAAATCCGAAGATTGGTTTAGCTGTCTTCTTCAAATTTTTTCAGCTTCTTTATTTATCTTTTACCTGCATACAGTTTTTCTTTGTTAAATGTATTTTCTGTTGATTTCCGCCTTTTTCTTTTCCTTTTCCGGTACTGCTAAAAAAATTATATTTGAGATTTTTGTTATGTATATATATATATATATATATATATATATATATATATATATATATATATGTTTTTTTTTAGTTTTTTTTATTTGCCTCTTTCTCCCAAAATACCATTTAGCATCGACTACAAATTGTTCAAACCTATCATGCCCATTGTTGTCATGTCTTGCAGTCAGTCCAGATTAAATCTATACATTTTACTCAGACATTCTACTCATATGGAAAGTCTGTTTTTAATCTATCTATCTATCTATCTATCTATCTATCTATCTATCTATGTTACACAGTTTGGATCTATCTATCTATCTATCTTAAACTTTCTTTCTCTCTTTCTTTCTTTCTTTCTTTCTTTCTAACTTTGTCTTTAAATATTCAGCCCGTTTCCTTTATCTATCTATCTATCTATCTATCTATCTATTTATCTATCTATCTCTTTTTATAAATGAGTTTATCTATCTATCTATCTATCTATCTATCTATCTATCTATCTATCTCATTCCTTTTATATTTCAGATTAGATTTTCTTTCTTTCTTTCTATCTATCTATCTCTTTTTATAAATTAGTTTATCTATCTATCTATCTATCTATGTTACACAGTTTGGATCTATCTATCTATCTATCTATCTATCTATCTATCTATCTATCTTAAACTTTCTTTCTCGCTTTCTTTCTTTCTTTCTTTCTTTCTTTTCTTTCTAACTTTGTCTTTAAATATTCAGCCCGTTTCCTCTATCTATCTATCTATCTATCTATCTCATTCCTTTTATATTTCAGATTAGATTTTCTTTCTTTCTTTCTATCTATCTATCTCTTTTTATAAATTAGTTTATCTATCTATCTATCTATCTATCTATCTATCTATCTATCTATCTATCTATCTATTTTTATAAATGAGTTTATCTATCTATCTATTCCTTTAAATTCAGTTTATTTATCTATCTATTTTAATCAATACACCGGAAGCAAGGCGATAATGCCACTAAGGCACAAGAGACTACTGGGAATTACAGAGACTAACAAAAACTTTTGAAAGAACTGATAACACAATCCTAAGCAGGAAACAAGGGATAAACTTCTACCCCTGTTCTGTTCAAACGACGGAGGCGTTTTTGGAATCGGACGATAGTCGGATCTATCTATCTATCTATCTATTATCTATCTATCTATCTATCTATCTATTTCAGTTTGTTAACATATACTTCATCCCTTTTTTTAATTTATCTCTCTATATATTCATGGGGCTTATTTTGCTCTCTTCGTGATACATCACTTAAGAAAAACAGATTAGTGGATGGGGGGTGGGGGTAGAAAAATAACCAAAAAAAAAAAAAAGCCAAAAGCAGACGACAATGCAACAACAATACAGTACTTGAAGCAAATTACAAATGCCGATCATGTTAGAAATATTTGAACGGACATAAAACGCGCCGGACTAAAAAAAAAAAGAAAAAAAAAAAACCGGAAAAAAAAGCGGAAAAAAACGACAACAGGGTTATTTGGCATCGTAAGACCAAAAAATGCCATAGTTTTCTTTTCTTTTACATTGTTTTTGTTCTTTGCTAAGTATTATTTACTTTGTTTTTCCCGATACAGTCATTTTTTTTTTATTTCTCTCCTCTTCTTTCTTAGTTTCTTCCCCCCTTTTTGATTTCTGTATCAATCATTCAAATTTACGGCTTTTTCTATTTTCCTCCCTTTTCGTTGTTTTTTTTTTTCGACTTTCTTTTTATTTTCTATTTTATTTTATTTTATTTTTTTGTACTATGAGTTTCTTCCGTTTCGTGTTCCGATTCATCATAATCGGCTTCGTATCTGCTGGTAAAGTTGAACAAACACACACACACGCGCACGCGCGCGCACACACACAGACATATATATGAATGTGTGTGTGTGTGTGTGTGTGTAAGAGGAGGAGAAAAAACAAGAACAGATACACATATACATGGAGTGCAAATAAGCAGAAGATAAAAGTTTTTAAAAGTTCTCAGTTCGATTCTCTTCCAACAATCAGTATATCAATGACTAAGGATAACGATTTTTGCAAATACGTCGGCATGGGAAGTTTTCAGATATATAGATAGATATGAACAGAATAAGATAGATAGATAGATAGATAGATAGATAGATAGATAGATAGATAGATATGGGGAAACAGATAGATAGATAGATAGATAGATAGATATAGGGAAACTAGATAGATAGATAGATAGATAGATAGATAGATAGATAGATAGATAGATAGATAGATAGATAGATATGGGAAACTAGATAGATAGATATGAACAGAATAAGATAGATAGATAGATAGAGAGATAGATAGATAGATAGATATGGGAAACTAGATAGATAGATATGAACAGAATAAGATAGATAGATAGATAGATAGATAGATAGATAGATAGATATCGGAGAAACAGATAGATAGATAGATAGATAGATAGATAGATATGGGGAAACAGATAGATAGATAGATAGATAGATAGATAGATAGATAGATAGATAGATAGATAGATAGATAGATATGGGGAAACTAGATAGATAGATAGATAGATAGATAGATAGATAGATAGATAGATAGATATGGGGAAACGGATAGATAGATAGATAGATAGATAGATAGATAGATAGATATGGGGAAAATAAATAGATAGATAAATATGGGGAAACGGATACATACATAGATAGATAGATAGAAAGATAGGTAGGTAGATAGATAGATAGATAGATAGATATGAACAGAATAAGATAGATAGATATGTACCTAATGAGATAGATATGAAAATACTGAGATAAATCTATTGATAGTTGAACAGACAGATAGATAGATAGATAGATAGATAGATAGATATGAACACAATGAAATAGATAAGGAAATGCGGGGATAGATAGATAGATAGATAGATAGATAGATAGATAGATAGATAGATAGATAGATAGATTATATTATATTATATTTATATAAACACGGAAAACGTCTCAGACTGTCCTTTGATAGCACTTAACATTTTGAAGCGTTTATTTGCTTCGTCTCGCTAATCTAGGCGTTGGGTCATTTCTTTTCCTTGTTAGGTTTTTGCTTCTAGCTCGTTTTCTCTTTTCTTTCCTTATTAGACTTTTTCTCTTAATTAAAATATTATGTCCTTCGGGAAATTGTCTGTTGCTTACTCTAACGTAGTTGCGTTCTTTTTAATAGTTCAGGGCATTTCATAATTTTGGAAACAAAATGATCGGATACAAATGAAAGTACACAAACTATACAAATTCCTTAAATGACCCATGACCCCTGTGTCTACATGAAAGGCTGCATATTATTAAGTTTCGTAAAAATAATGATCTATTAAATCAACGTAATGAACTACCTGTAATATGTCGGCACTGTAAAATGTTTACTTTAGAATAGAGTTAATGGATTTTTCATAAAAAAAAAATCTATGTATTGCAATTATATATCCATTACTTTATTATATATAATGGTATATGTAATATTGATTTAATTCATTGATTTTAATATTGCCATGTATTAAGGCCCATTGAATAAAATAAGTATTGTATAAAATACAATACCGATTTTATTCAATAAGTTTCAAAATTATATAAAAATGATTCAATCATACCAGAGACTCCTTTAAGATAGTTCTAAAGTACTTATAAAAATAATTTTTTAATAAAACAAAAATTAGCCTATTGTTAGAAATATAAATGTCTCTCATATTATATCTTTGTAAATTAAATGTATATTCTTAACAGGGAGTATGAGGCTGTGTCTTAATATGACAGCTCCCCGAGACATGTATGAATACCACACACACACCCCACAACAACTAACCTATATTTTTAAATTTTCTGCTTTAGTTCTGACTTGTCCTTTGATTAGTCAAAAGCGACACACACACCCTAAGATTTTAAAATCCCCCCTTCTACTTAACTCTTTAATAAGCAAACTTTTTGTTTTTTTGTTTTCAAAAGTAAATCATTTTCATCAAAAAAGAGCATTGCCTGACGACGGGATAAAAATATTTTAAATTCCGAGACATAGAATTTTCGTGTCGCAATGTAAAATGTTTTTAAATAAAAATATCATTATATATACATATATATATATATATATATATGTGTGTGTGTGTGTGTGTGTGTGTGTGTGTGTGTGTGTGTGTGTGTGTGTGTATGTATTTGTTCTTTAATCAGAAGATAAAAAGACGTGAAGATAAAATTCATCAGGGAAAACACCGCAGTTTTTTCCTACTCAAGTACTTTCGATCTCATCTAAGATGACCCCAGGGGTAAATTACAAAGACAAATTCTAACTGTGCTTGTTGTGATGGCGATTTTTAAAACACGGGTGACAGCGATTTGTTATAATTATTTTAAAATTTAAAATTGTAATTGTAAATTTTAAAAAAGTTATTGCTCGTGATTAAGTTGGTTGTGTGTAATTTAGTATAATTATATACATATATATATATATATATATATATATATATATATAATTAGTATTATTTTTTTTTACTAGGATCAGTGGTAATTTTTTATGTGATTTTTAGGATTTTTTCGTCTAGTTTATACTTAGAATGCATTTCATTATGGTATAGTCAATATATATATATATATATATATATATATATATATATATATATATTTATAGTAATTCGAGGAAGTATTGATTTGTGTTACTATTTCTAATGACTCGTCTGATTTGTTCATCAACGATGTAATTAGCAAAATCATTATTAATGTCTTTTGTTAATCTTTTTTAATTCAGTGTAGAAATTTTTTCTTGGAAGAGTTAACTTTTGCACGGTTTATTAAATTTTGTATAATTGCTATATATATATATATATATATATATATATATATATATATATATATTATGTAGTATTACATTAGAACATGCACATATCCACTACAAAATTGTCCATTTTTGTTTCGACGTCAAGAAAAGAGAAAACTTTTCAGACGTCTCATCAGGTAGGGAATTACAGTGTTACTAAAAAAATGTTTATTCAGAAATACAGTTATCAAAGCAAATATCTCCCACTTCCGTTCTTTGGAAATTTTCATAATGTCTTCTAGAATTTACATGTAGAGATGGAAGGGAATCTAATGCATTAAGTAGTTGTGGGTGGACGAAAAGGAAGGAAAAAAGGGGGAAGGGAAAAGAAAGAAAGAGGCTAGGCGAAGGAGATGAGGTGATAAGCGCTAAGGGAAGATAAAATCTGGCCATAGAATTTGGCTAGAATGTAGAATTTGAACTTCAACGGCCTTCTAGGTTGGTAAGTAGGGCTTTCAAGTAAAAATAATTTGCACCTAGAGACAGTTAAATTAAAGTTTAGAATATTAGGTATCTGTGTTTTTTTAGTAACACCTTGATTCCGCACCTGATGAGACGTCTAAAAAGTTTTGCCCCTTTTTTGACGTTGAAACGAAAATGTACAATAAGATAAATAAATATTTACGGCTCTACTTTGTGTATTGAGCACTATTTATAAATACACACACACACTCACACATATATATATATATATATATATATATATAATGGACTCTCCCGTTAGTTTCAACGTATGAGGATCTGACAACTCAACCAATTCATTGAGTTATGAATTTTGTGCGATAATCTTAAGTCGCACTTAAGACACGCAAGTGAGTTTCAAACAAGGCTGCATATGGAGCAAGAGTGGGGATTGTGGGATGAGGTCACTGTTAGATTGGCTGACCTTTTAGATCTTGCTCTCTCTCTCTCCATAAGACGATTCGGACTAGCAGATTGAAAAACCCCTGCGTCCCTAAAAACACATTGATCTCCACTCTACTTGCTCCAAGGCTAAGCAGTCAAAGATATTATGAGGTGTCTTGACAGCTGACAAGTTGCTCTTCAGCTTGTCTTTGTATCTTAGCCATGGGCGTCCTACATTCCTGTAGCCCTGATCTAACTGGCTGTACATTAGGATCTTGGGTATCCTGTCATCAGACATTCTCAAAACATGACCAGACCACCACAACTGAGACTGTATGAGGAAAGTCTCCATTCCTCCAATATTACACCTGTTAAACAGGTCTACATTGGATGTCCTGTCTTGAAGGCTAACTCTCTCTCTCTCTCTCTCTCTCTATATATATATATATATATATATATATATATATATATATAGTGTATCAAAAATACTTTTACAAAGTTTGGAGCGTATTCCTCAC